ATACGACACCAAATATGCTTCAGAGTTTGAGACTCGCTTTGTAGCATCCTACTTGGAGTATGCTTACAAGAAGTGGTGAGTGGCACTCTGGTATTTAAAGTTTATGGGAGGAAAGAGAAAGGGAGCATCAGTGTTTTGGTTTTTGTTTGTTTTTTCAGGCAAGGGGGTTGGGTCTTTGTATTATCCCAATACAAGTGAAGAAAGGTGCTCTTCAGGGGACTCTGCCACATGCTTTTCCCAATTCTAGGACAGGTGCTGAGTGCGTAAGGGTGCATTTTGTAATACACCTTATCTATTCAGTGAGCAGCTGCTGAAAGAGGATTTCTGTCTTTCGCTGGCAGTGGTTTTGACCACAGAGTGACCTGATCTAACTCAAAACTGATTCGTTGCATGGCCCTGGTCCAGCAGTGTCACAGGGCCACAGCAGGAACACACATTGAAGAGAGACCCTCAAAACTCATCTAGAGAGCAACCGAAAACAGGGCTGTGCCTGCAGGGTCTGTTAGCTATAACTTGGTTTTGCAGGGAGGGGGTGGTGCAGTTAAAGACTGGGTGCTCCCTGCCTCTCCTGATGCTGACCAGCTCTGTCACGCGTCCTGCACGTGACACTCGCGTGCAGCCAGCTGCGACTCCCATCAGTTTCCTTCCAAGCGAATGTTGTGTTCTTGTTCTGGGACGTATGTCTACTTCACAGTGTCAGTCTGGCCCCTGGTCCTGCACTCCCCACACAATCTAAACAAGCCCCTGGCAGTGCTACAGCCCCTTGAATCTCCATTAAACTGAAGTCATGCTCTGTGTAGAGGAGAAATGGTATTTTTAGTGACTGTTTTATATCAGGAAATGCCACTTTGACAAGTCTGAAAATATTCAAGATGGCTGTTCTCAAACATGAGAATGCTTTGTTTTGACAAGATAAAAATACTTTTTAAACTGACCTCTTAAATGTTCTAACTCGCAATTCTAGTTACATGGAGCCTTCCAAAGGTTTTGGGCCTTTTAGCCAGCTCTTGGGACAAAATTTCCTTCCTCATGAGAAGGAAAACATTTCCTTGTTGTCTATATTGCCCAGGTTCGACCTGTCTGGGTAGTGGCTGCTGAATGCTGTACATGATACCTCATTTTGGGGCATTTTTAATTTGTCTATTAACATTATGAAGAACAACACATATCTTTGTGCCCTTAATATTTAAAATCAGTGTGTCCCCTTCTCTCATAGCTTCACCAGAGACACTGTTGTCCCTGCCTGTATGTGAGCATAAGAGAAACCAACCTTTAAATCAGCATGGAAGCAACTACTTTCTAAAGCTATTCTCCTGGAACAGAGTTTCTTTCCAGCAAGCTATCAAGCTTAAGAGCAGGAAACTAGTGGAGTTGAGACTCAGTGGAGAGCAGTGTGTTTGCACCAGCTCCACACTGTGGTACCTTCAGCGAGTGACCTGCAGTAACTGTGTACTCTTGTTTGTTCCAGCAAGCGAGAGAACTGCAAGCTGAAAGACTCCAGTGGCCAGCACCTCACCGTCGAGTTCTGCAATTACCCTGCCAACATGTCCCGTTACATCGACTATCGGCACTGCTCTCTGGAAGAAGCAAGCCACAATGTGGGAGGGGGAAATAAGGTGCCTGTCTGTGAGAAATTTTCGGTAAGTAACATAAATCCTTTGTGGCTCCATGGAAAGAGCCACATGTGGCCCAAGCAGGAAGTCATAGGAAAGCACCTGGGAACTTCCTCACTTGCTTCACAGTACAAGGAAGATTATCAAGCTTCAGGTGGCTTTGTGACGGAAAGGGCAATAGCATGCTCTGTTTGGAGGCAGTGAATTCCACGGGCTATGTTAGACGTGGAGATTCAGAAAGAGATTATATGGCCCTAAATAGTGGGATGGTATGAGTTAGAATGTCCATTGCTGTCTTGGGAGGGCTGTAAGTTCTAAATTAGTTTGGCTTGTTCCCTGAGCAAGAAATGCCACCTCTTCCCTCCCCCACAACTTGATCAGATATTAAAAAAAAAAAAAAAAGTTACCTGTCTGCAGCTACTGGCACTGTAGCACAGTGTGACCCACAGCATCTTGACTCCTGGTGCTGCTACAGCAGTAAACAGAGAGCCCATCTGATCAGATCGTAACTGGTTCCAGATGCTTCAGGGAGAAAAGGAGCTCTTCCAGATGTTGCATGTCACTGTTGTAGTACAACATAGGTTAGGGAAATCTCTGGAAGTTTCTCATCCAACTGCCAACTCAGTGTTGCTCGGAGCCTGGTTTGGTGAATTCTGAAAATGTCTAAGGACAGAGATTATGAAATCCCTCCAGGCTGTTCCTGTGCTTGACCACTCATTGTGAAAAATGTTTTCCTGTATATCTACTCAGAATTTCCCCTCGCTGTTACCACATCACCTTTCCCTGTGCTCCCCGCCCTCGGAAGAGTTTAGCTCCATCTTCTCTGTAACCTCTTCTTCAGGTAGCTGCAGACAGCAATACCTGCATCCTTTATCTTCTCCAGGTAGAACAGACCCACCTTCCTTGGCCTCTCCTCATACGTTGTGTGCTGCATCTTGACAGCTCCCAGTTGGACTTGCTGCAGTTTGTGAATGCCTTTCAGTGTGTGTTGTGGGGCCATAACTGGATACAGTGCTCCCAGTACAGCCTCACAAGCCCTCAGAAGGGGGGAATAATTAGCTCTGCTCCATGTTACGGTGATCGACTGCTCTAACCAGGAGGCTGGTGGCTACAGACTTCTCTCTCTCTCTCTCCCTAGGCCTATGGCTGGTGTCCAAAAGGGGTGAAGTGTCTGCAGTCTCATAACATCGACCTCATAATCGATGAGGATGACAAGCTTTGGGAGGAGAAGCGGAAGAAACGGAAACACAAATGGAAGCGTCGGAAGAACACAGAAGAGTTTGCAAAGGCGTTCGGACAGGCAAGCTCAGGGAAAGAAATGGAGCTAGCTCAGAATGGGGAGGAGGGACCACCACGAAAACAGAGCTGCTACGAGCCTGCAGCTGCTACAGAGCTGGCAGAGATCACACCCAACAGTGAGGGCAGGCCACTGGAGGACAACTGCATGGGCATGGAACCAGAGGTCAGCTCAGACACCGGCACACAACAGGAAGAGGATCTGGGGAGCACTGAAGGAACTGCTGCCCAGGCAGCAGCTGCTGTGAGCCCTTCTGCCAAGGGAAATGCCTCTGACAGTGACCAAGTGGAGGGGAAGTCAGAGGTTCCCACTGGGGTGGGCTCAGTCAATCACCCAGACATCCCTGGGACTGAAGCAGCATGTGCTGCAGAAAAGGAAAAGGAAGCCCACGGCACACCTTCACAGGGGGGCACCCACCGAGCCGGCTTTGATGCATTCATGACTGGCTATATCATGGCTTATGTCTGGATGCTCAAGAGAGGAAAAACCACGGATGTTGGTGCAGAGCCGTGGCTGCCAGACTGCCATAATAAACTGTACCTCAGTGGGAAATCGGTGCCACTTCAAATAGTGAAGAGCTTGTTTTCTAAATCTTCCAAAGCTCACAGCCAGAAGATGAAGTTGGTCTGGGCCACTGGATAGAGCTAGAGGACTCATCACTGAACTGGGCTTTTTTTCCCCCTCAAGTTTTGAAGTTACTCCATCAAGACCTGACCAGAACAGGAGCAAGTTTCTTACTCTTGTTTCTGTTTTAACTTCTGACTGATTAAATCGCTCTCAATTGGAGTTCCCCCTGTTGTTCCTTAGTGGCATGGTGGGCTGTGAAGGCAGGGGTGAGGCTGGAGAAAAGGGAGGAAAAGTGCACCTCTCCAACTGTACCCGGGGCTGCAAGTTTCAGTTTAGTGCTCTGCACTCCACATGGGTTTTGAAAAAAACGGCCTAGGGTTGCCTTTCTGGAAAGACCATATGCTAGCTACTTTAGCATGGGCTTCATTTCTTGCAGAAAATTAAGAGGGTCACTGCTTGGTAACAAGAGGAGACAGAGGCCAGAACTTCCCACTTAAACTTCTGAGCGTGTTAAGAGCCTCGGCCTCCTCTCAGATCTTGCCTTAATCCTTAACTGCACCTACAGCCTGACTACATGCTGCCACTTAACCTAGCGGTTTAGGGTGGGATAGACCTTTTCAAAAGGAGCGTTTGCTAAAGGTCAAAGTTACCTACAAAAGCACATCTGAAAGCTGGAAGCTGTTGACCCATACAACCAGCTTGATAGGACACGCTGTGAACAGTCACTGGGGGAAGATGTGATGCTTCTGCCAGACACCAGATGAAAGCAGGCTAGCTCTGCCTCGGGCAAAGCATACGTTTTTATGAATGTTTAGTCAAGCATTACTGCTTTCAGTCACTGCTGGTAGGGTAACTCCCTATAATCCTCATAATTATTTCCTGTCTTTCTATGGAAGTCAGGAAGGAAAAAGTGTTGGGTTTTTTTGAAAAAAAAAAAACAACAAACAACAGAAACCAAGAGAGACACCAGTTGGTTGGTTTAGAACATGCAGCTAGGAGCGCTGTCGCACTTCATAGCTGTACTTTACCTTAATCTTGGTTACAGCGTACATAGACAAGACCTTTGCTCCGACAGGAGAGAGGGGAAGGAGAAAGCATCTCTCAAATGGGCCAGCTGATTCTACTGCAGGGTAACTGCATGCAGAACCAAGCCACAGCAGGTCTTCAAACAGCTTCTAAGTAAGGGGAGATGCAGTGGGACTTAAAGGCAGGTGTGGTTCTCTTAAACTGCTCTGCTTCCTGTGCTGCTGAAGCTATTCTGTAGGGCTAGAACAGAGCAGCCACAACAGCAAGCTCCCTGCAGGCTGAGTGCTATCAAAAGCCATCTTTTTTTTGTATGTCACAAGCTGCTGCCTACTTTTCAGAGCACTATAAGGCAGAGCAGAATAAAAGTCCTTGAGTGTCACAGATTTAATAGTGTAACACTTCAGTAGGATGCAGGAGAGAAATAACCCTGAATAAGGATGATAGTTCTCCCTGTTTATAATTCAGCACTGAGTAATGGTGAATACAATCTCAAGCCAGGTAAAAATGTCATCCACAGCTTAAGTAAGCATTTGAGCCAGCTTTTACAACCTAGAGTTCCCCTCTTAATCACAAGACTCAGGCCTTGATTTTATTTTTATTTTGAAAGCAAGTTGTGAAAGTTTACAAAACCTGACCAAGAAAAAATTATGAAAATATTTAACTGGATTCATCTTTGGTTACTTCTTATTGCAGTTCCAATAAAACATACACCATTTCTATAGTTCAAAAAAAGTCAGAAGGTCAATCAACATAAAAACAAGACGTGCTTTCTTTACATATTCATAAATATCCACAATATTAGAAAAGTTTTGCAAAGATTTTCTTTCTGGCAGTGTTAACTTACTATTATACACAGGCTACAAACTTCTTCCTAAGCCTTTAATTACAAGTTGAGCTATTTACAGACTGCAAATATTAAGACGTAAAACTCCTTCATAAATACGAAAATAGATCATCTCGCAAAGATCTTTATACTTAATCAAATATCTGGCTGCCCCTCCTCCCAAAAAAAGGTTATTTGTTTTGCATAGAAATGTAGTGACATGCAATATAAACAATAGCATTAAGTGCAAACAGGAATTATTCAAGTGTCTTTAGTTGTACTGGCAAAAATACCAATGTTCTGTTACACATAACACATCAATGCCTTCCAAGTATAAGTCTGCTATAGCCCCTTGTCTGCACTGCTTTTGAGGGGCAGCAATTCACATGCATTCTCTTAGTTGCATTTTATCAACCTGCAACCACAACAAAAATAGCTTATAACAGACATTTAAATGAATTCAACATAGAAAGATTTAAAGTGAATTAAAAACGTCTTTGATCACTTCAGGGAACCTAGCAATATGTATAAAGTGTTTTAAAAGAGCAACAACTGCTCCCATAAGAAAGTCAAAAATCACGATAAAATCCAATCACAATAAAACTTTGTCACATCGCTATAAAACAAGGAGTTTGCTGACCACATGTTTGTACTTATGTTCATCAGTAGCTGTCAGAAAATGGCCCCCTGTAGAAAAGTACCCTCAGACAGAAACCTAGTAGTTACTAGGTGCAACCTAAGTTCAGCTTTACACAACCAAAGGGATGAGATGTAGTAAGTGCCAACTGCATCCAGACCCTTGGGAACACTGGGGTTTTACAAGCACTTGGCTATTCTTAAATGGCCTTTTACTCCAGTTTCATACACATGCCTCTTTTCCCAGGCAGACCAAGAATCCAGGAAAGGCCTGAGCTGCTATTCCTTGGTGTTTCTGACATCTCCACCTCAGTACAAAGAGCTAGGAAAGTTGATAGATGTGCCCTACGCATGTCAGCTGGCTGTGCTTAGGGTGGACATTGAAGAAAATAAAATTTTAGCCATGCTGCTTTATAAGAGAGTATTGAGGGCAGGGAAACATTTTAAGAGACTGTGGTGTAAGAAAACAGATGAGGTCACTGTGATGGGTGCCACAGAGGTACCCCAAGCCTGACCGCACAGGCTTTGCAGTCAAGAGTCAGAGAGGGCAACAGCCTTCATGATAAGGTGTCAGCGCTGACAACCAGGGCTAATGCAAGCCACGAGGCAGCCAGAGGTGTGCGTACACTCTCCAATGAGGCTGCAGGACGTTGTAGGATGCTGGACAGCTTCCTCACAGCCTGGTGATCCAGAGGGAAACTATGCCTTATTATTGCTTGTTTGTCTGAAGTCACACACCTAAATGCATCTCGTGACAACAGAAGCTGGTGCTGACCGTTTCCCTCCCAAAAGATTACAACTGTATAAAAGATAAAAAGAGTAAAAAAAAAAAAATTAACAAAAAAAAAAAAAGCAGGCACCAGGCAGGCAACTAGCTGGCAATTGAGTACTGCTGTTTCCCTGTCCTCAAAGGAAATTACACACACACAGTGCCAGCCATCTAAGCTGCTCTGCAGACAGGATACACAAGACCGACTACTCTACAGATCAGCACCTTCAAGAGGTGAGAGAGGTGTGTGCCAAAAGGGGGGATCTTGGTAAGGACAGGCATTTTCTTTCAGACTGCTAACAGCTGCCTAATGTGGCATGGACTGTGCCAACTAGCTCAACGACACTGTTTCTCATTTAATTCTTTGCAGCCACTGCCAAGGGGTAACTGCTGCTCAGCTTAACACATACTTCACAAGAGGAAGTCATAATTCTAACTCACAGAATAGTTACCTACACCTCTGGAAAGTTAAGCCAAGAAAGGCTTTCTCCATCCTTCCCTTGAGATAGGAAAAGAGTAGGACTAATCATGCTTCCATCAGAGACTAGCTTACATTTTCCATCCTTACAATAAAGCAGTAAGAGTGTGATAGGCTGCCTGGGTGAAATTATGGACTCCACTGCATCACCATCTGCTCAGCAGGCATGCAATGCATGTGTCAGTTATGAATGATAATGTAGGTTAAAAAAACCCCAAAAAACAAAAAAAACCAGCAAACCATGTTGTTGGGACAACGATAGTGGAAAAGGTCAGGATGTCGCACAAACATCACAGAACAAACTTTCCCATACATCGCATCCCAGAGTGGGGATCTCTGATGCTGGTTCCAGCAAGCACCGTTAAAGTTTGTGCTGCTTCTTCTTTCACATGTACCTGCTGGTGGAGGGAAGAAAAAAAGGAAAAAAAAAGCAAAAGATCATCCTATTCAGTGACAGAAGCCACTGACAGTAAAGACAACAGCTTCTTTCTGTAGAAGAAAAAAAAGTTAATTTGGGATAAGCTAATTTTCTTCAGTTTGACAATTCAAAGCCCTTCTGTGAGTCTACTGTCTATCCTCTCCAAGAGCACTTGTGTGGCTGCAACACTGCTGGCAGCTTCCCCCAAGAAGGGGATTCCTCTCCTCTATCAGTCTGGTTTTAAATAAGGAACCATCATTACTACAGTGATATCAGTAAGATGGGGTGTCATAAAAGAGAGGGAGGTGAATCTAGCTTAATGGTGTCAACTGTGATGTAGATACTGTATTTAACTAACTATTGTGCAGAAACAGCTCATGATGTCCATTCAGCTCTTCAGAGATAAGAGCCCACCCACCTCCCCAAAAGCTCAGTACAACTGGTACTTTCACTGTCAGTTTCTCCAGATGCCCAGAAATGACAGCACCTAGAATATGGCTGTCCTCTTGTGCCTTGGGTAAACCTTCCTCCACATTCGGGTTGAGGAAGAGCTGTGCAAGGAGGAGAGAGGCGCTTACTGCATCCTGCTTCCCTGCACTAATGTATTACACATCATTACCAAATCCCACAGGAAAGTGAAACACCAGGGAACAGATTCCTCTTGTTAATCACAAAGTACTTGTCATGTGACTCGGCCTGCAGATTGCCACCAGCATGAGGGGGTTTGTTTTTTGCTGCTGAAAGAAGAGCTTGTTTAATGCTGCAACAGCATTCACAGCAGCTCTGGGTCCAGAGAGCATTCCTATCTGCTGAACATAGCAGATCATCTGAACCATCTCTGTGCCTGTTTCCACAACAGAGGCTCCAACTCACGCGCACTGCTGCAGAATGTTAATGCAAAATCTGCAGTGGTTTAGAGCTGGTCAGTCAGAGAAAGAGGGAAAACCTAAGGGAAACTCTTTCTAGCCAACATGGAGCTTAAGGCCTTGAAATGCTCCATGCTGGAATCCAGGTCAAACTGTTCACATGGTGCCTGCTCTGACTGCTGCCTCTTGGAAGGACTGCAGAG